CACATTCATTCCTTAAGTATTGATATTAATATGAAATGACAGAAACAAAACACAACAAATTGCTTCAATAACATTTTGCTTATTTGGACGCAGAGCAGTTCCTTCTGAGGCTTTTGTTGTTTAAATAAGTAAAAGATTGTGAAGTATTAAGTTACTTATACAACTTGTTCAAGCTTGGTTGTTAAAGACTGTTTAGATAGATTACCTTTAACATCTGGTGGTGGTAAATCACGAGATGGGGGAGGTGGTTTAACCATTCCTTTCATAAAGAAATCTCCTAATGTCATCAAAAACTCTACACATACACAAATCTTTAAACTACATACATCAACAGTTACTGAAAATATCAAATACAAATATTATTGTCATTTAATTCATAATATAGAATAAACTAGTTAATTAAACTGTATAATTAATTGTTGTTATAGGTCAGAACCTTAATATTATTATGTAACTACAATGCAGGTAAAAAATGAAAATAACTTTGGAATATCTTTTTAAAAATATAAAGAATATATACAAAAGCTAAATATTTCCAAAAAAGAACAAGAATTGTGATAAAACTCAACCTACTATTTTTATCTTGTGTAGAATTTTGAGTAAAATCTACATCTATCATATTAATACAAGGTTTCTTGTCATTACCACCTCTAGTACTTCTTGTTATCATTCTATATAAAACATAATATAATACAGTTATCAATTGCTTCAGACAATTGAGAAAAATAATTAATCTTAGAGAAAAAAAAAGAATTTTATCATACACTAACAGATGATTGTAACAATTTGTGCTCTGGCATAATACAGATTAGAAATACTATACCTTGTTAATCCTTTCTTTTTAGCTATTCTCAGATCATCTAATATAGTATCTGTTAGTTTAATTTTAGTTACCATAGATGTATCAGACATCATACTACCATTCAATGCCATACCTTGTAGAGCAAACTTTCCTAGTAAGTCATCAGATTTTCTCTTAACAATACCATGAGACTAAAATAAAATCAAAACATTCTTTCTAGAAACAGTAAACAAAACTACAATTTTATACTTTATAATAGACTGTTCAGAATAGTTCTATAAATGTGTTTCAAATATATGACTAATAAAGTATATAAAGCCATGGATATATGTTTCCATTAGATTTTTGCCTAAACAATAAACATCTTACCATATCACTATCTCCATTATAAAATGTAGTTGATAAATTTTTCAACTGGAAATCAAACTTCATTTTACAATAAGCTTTGTCTCCTGGTTTTTGGGACTCTTCTTTTTTAGGCTCAGCTGTTAAATGGAAAAAGGTTATTAATGATATTAATATAGTTAATTATCAACCTCAATTAGTATGTTTCCAATCAATAAGCCTAGCCCATATTATAAATTTTTCAATTTTTTTTATCATTTTGTTAAAAAAAATTTCCATTTTTTCCTTAAGATTAATTATCAAATATCTGAATGGGGCAGAGGCAAAAAAAACATCTTCAAAAATCCAAGTATAATGTGCATTGTGACTACAATTTGTCAGTTTCTGAAGCCAAGTTTAATTTTTGCAAAACTAACCCAATAACATAGAAACATGAGCTGTCAGATGTAAGGTAACTTACCACTGACAAGAGTAGAAGTTTGAGGTTGTATTTCGTTTGTTTTAGGTGTAGGTTTAGATGGGGCTGGTAAGGCTTGTTGTTCACTTATATCTGTTCCTTCACCAAGATTTTCATCTACTAACTTCATTATCATGGCAAAATCACCTTGACTAAGCTTTACCTAGAAATATATCATTAAAATATCAATAATAACTAGTAATTCTGATCACTTATCTAAACAAAAATACTAAAATTGTCAAAAAAAACACAAAAACACAGTATGACATTTACACTGATTTCAGTCCTTCTTAATGAGTACTTACATCAATGGTCTCTAAAATGCCACTAATATCAACTTCAGGATGACCATGGTACCATGCCACTGATAAATTACGACAAATATCAATGGTTATGGAAACTGGATCTAATATTAAACACTCAGCTTTTATCTGTCCATTATTTAATACTTGAGCTCTGAAATGTAAATCATCTATCAATTCAATGTTTCTTTCTCAATAACACAGCCTAAACAAGATTAATATACAATCATTTTTCATTTTGTCAAACACAGGATAACTCTGTCAGGTCATTATTAATGATAGATTTTAAATATTTTCTTAAAAAAGGATGTATGATAGAAGAAGATATTTACCTTGACAATTTAAGCTCTTTCAGAACTATTTTCATTTTATCTAATACAGCAGGTACACCATTAGTTGATACTTGACCAGCTAAATGAAACTTATTGTTGATAGCTAGATTACCTAGATCCATCATCAATAGGTTATTAGACGTTGATTTCTGTGGTACTATAATCAATGGTGCTTTCATATTAATATTCATACCAACACGTGGTGCTCTTTCTTGTAAACTAGCTGCTACTTCTTTAGAATATTCTGCCATTACTTCTCCAGCTTCTTGCACTCTCTCTTTAGCAATTTGGAAATTGTCCAAAAATCTCTAATAAATGAAAAATTTGACTAGTCATAGATACAATTTAAAAATCTGTATGATGATGGTTCATAATCATATCTTGAAACTTCTGTTTTGTAAATCATATGTTCTTTTCAAGGACTATTCCTGGTCCCCTAGAGAAACTGTGTAATCCCTACCATTTTATTTATTCAAAGTAAAAATAATCAATTTTTTAATATTCTATAGATCCATGATGAAATATGAAAGTATAAGCTTAATCTGAATATAAAATAAGTACTGACCAGTAAATCTGCTACATATCTATTGAGGAATACAAGTTTAATACAACCAATATTAACATCTAGTTGTGTATCGACACAAGACATATCACCATAATGTTTACCTTCAGTACCATCATTATATATTACAACCTCTAACTTTAATACTTCTCCACCTTCTATAGACATTATCTATAAAATAGTACATATTCATTCAGTTTACTAGTTCAAGATTGGTGGCAAAAATAGGTCTACTCTCAGATACAAAAATAATAATGTGAATTACAAGGAATTCAAACCTACCAAATATACTATTAACTATCATCTCTGCTACACTGAGTGCAATTAGATTTGCTTATATTATCAGCACTAGTTTTGAAATAGAATATATATTTACACCTGCATGTATAGTCAGTTGACATAATTATTGTACATAATATATACCTTAGGATAGAGTGTTTTAGGCATAGGATCAAATATAGTAATATCTTGTAAGACTGCTCCAACACTAGTTTTGGCTTTCTGAATAGTAACACTAGCATCAATACCTGTAAATAACAAATATAATCATTTAGAAATACTCATTGATTCAAATCAACTAGTTCAAACCTATTGACTGTGTTTTGGATATAAAATTATCATAGGAAAACTGCAAAGAGATTCTAGGCATTGTCATCTCATGTATTTTCCCAAAATCTCACTTTTGCATATTCAACATTTTGAATTACTACATGACTTGAGTGATAATTTCGGCACCTGGATCTAAAGGATTTAATCCTAAAAATCATAGCTTTCTGAATCTGAATTGAAGAGAAATTACCTTTAATTTTGACATCAGTAAGAACCTTATCATTCGTACAAATAGCTACACTGAATAGATCTAATTTAGCATTGACTTGAATATCTATCAAATCTGGATTCACCTTCTTTTCTATAAATAAAAGAACACATCTTTACTAATAAGATAGCTTACCAGGTAAGGTAATATATGCCCAATGGCAGCTTTGATTTTAAATAAAAATATTTGACAGTTCAGTATGAAATATTCAACCTTCAGTCATGCACAAAATCTAGCTAGAATTGTTCCTTTACTAGATAAAAATTCAAGAACAAGGTCAATAACTCATATAAATCATTTTTGTATATTTTTGATTTTCAATCAAGGATCAATTTTCAAAAAGTTTCGTCAAAATCAGTCAAGAATTTTGCCTTTACAAGCTAAAATTTGAATGCGTTTTCAAAGAAGGTGATAACTAATACTAAATATTTTTCAATTTTTCTGATTTTCAATAGGGTTCATACTTGGGTGATTACGAACGCTCATGCAAAATTTTGTCAAAATCCATCAAGAATTGTACCTTCTAGAGTGTTTGTGAGCTCAAATTTGAACAAGGGCAATAATTCATACTTAATACAACCTGTCAACAATTGTGCCTTCTAGAGTGTTTACACGCAATTGTGGACTGACAGATGTATAGTAAAATCAGGTTGTAACCTGAAGATTTGGTTATTGAACCTGGCATGAGCTGATGAATTGCTCTCACAAAATTTATATCTTTCTTTAATTTTTACATGATGATGGACAACGATATATTGTTAAACTTACTTTGGCGTTTAGGCTTATTTTCATCCACCTTTTTCTTTTCTTTATTTTTCTCTTCTTTTTTGCTATCCTCAATAGCAAGTGCAGGTTTCTTATTGTCTGAGGGTGGTGGCTGAAGTTTTTGAGCGAATTCCATCAAATTGAGAATAGCAGCCTGATGTAATAAAACTTCTAATGCCATAAAGTTGACAGAGATAGCTTGTTCAGTACTTTTATAAGTACTAGTAAATTCAGGTCCCTTCTTATCAGCCTACAATACACAAAGTAAAAAATAAGATTGAAACTCTTTATTTTTGGAAACAGGATTATTATTATTTGTTGTGGTTCAAATTGCAAAATATAGTAAGAAATCCAAATGGTGAGAAGGAAACACAATTTAACTTTTTTTTGTCTCAAAAAAATACACTATCACATGGAAATACCATAGTTTGCTCTTATAGAGAGAATGTATGATAAATCACCATCCAATATCTAAGCATTTATATATTAGCATCCAAAAATCTAGACTAAAATATATTCAGTATTCAACTATAATAATACAATTTTACCTTTAAATATTGAACTTTCAATAAATGAGTGGATTGCTTGCCATCTACATTTGTATTAACCAGGTTAATAACAGGTCCTGATTTTAATGCTGTAATTCAAATATCATACACCTTATATTAATAATTCATTTACAACTTAACTTAACCTAAATAATTTCTCCTAAAATAAAATAATCAATTAATCATTCATAGTAATTTGAGGAATTGTTATAATCTTCTTGATATATTTCAATATATTAGTATATATAAATTAAACTCTTTCAGACTATTTGTAAGAGAAATTTTTGTGACTATTGATAACATTTGTATCTTATATTGGTGAAGATAAGTATAGATATACAAACCTCTATTATTGTCAAGCCATTCCACCAAATCAGGGTTAGCTATATAACATGCAATAGGAAAGTCAATCAATATTATCATGTAAAGCAGATAATAAAGGTATTTAAAATGGCTGTGTGGGCTAGTCTCTTAATTATTTACAGTAGCAGCAAGTCAATCTTTCATTAAACAGAAATCAACAGTGTCAATTCCTTTAAGGTATTTTCCATGAACCTCAATACCATATAATCAATATCATTATAATGTAGAATTATTTTACTTTTAGCTTTGTTTCTAGTTTTGACTGTAATTCAAACTAAATATTTGAAAGAATTTGTACAAATCAGCCCACAGAGTCACTTAATAATGAGAAGTGTAGAGATTCGCTGGTGGAATTCACGGCAAAGACCAAAATACAATCAATCTACAAATTTCATGTGGTTTATCAAGTTAATGTTACTAAGTTAATGTCATAAATGATAACCAGCAAAAATAAAATTAAATAAATTTTCTACCAATGACATGAACTTAGCTCATAACATACATCAGGAATTTGAAAAACATTTAAACTATCTAGCATGATATTCTACAGACATATTTCATGCTAAACTAAAACTACAAAAATACTATCATAAAATTATGATCAAACTATTATAAGGAGGATAAATTCATATTTGAAATTATAACATGAATATATTAAACTTTTATGACAATTATTTTAAAGATAAAAGCTACTACAGAAAGATTAGGGTATACATATATACAAGAAACTAACTAGGTAAGTTAAACCAATTCAAAATAAATGTTTTATTGTCACTATCAATGTCACAGCCATATTTCATATTTGTTTATTGTCCTTTATCTACAGTTCAAATATATTCAGAAATAATCATTTCTAGTTTGTATTTTATTAAACAAAAAATAATCAGAATTTGGAAAGAAAAAAGAATTGTAAAGAAATTCTAACTGATCTAATAATCAAAATCTGGGTGGAATTTAAATATCATATTCCTTATTCAAATTTTGATAAGCTTTTATATTTAACAACTAATTCTAATGTCATGGATACCATGCAAGATAGTATTAATAGAACTCACCTTGAAATTTAAGATGTTGTACCGAAATATCACCTAAATAAGCATCCACTACCATATCAAATGATCTCATACTAACTACAGTACCAACAGATTTTACTATTAATTTTAATAATGGTATGTCTTTATTTTCAAGTTTTTCATGTACCTTTACTTCAATCTAAAATACAAAGTATAACATCATACATATTGATAAATAGTTAGTCTAAGAATCAGTCATTAGATCATAATACAGGATGGGTGTTTTCACATAAACATTGTTGTTCATGTTTGAGAAAGGAATTCTTATGCTATGGACAGGAATATAAGGTTTATTTAAAACAATTGAGTGATTTTAACTATTTGTGTAAATAGAAAATACTTTTTAGCTGTTTGTGAATGACACTATGGTTTCATACTTAAACTTTCAAAAAAGGTAAGGAACAATTACATGCTCCAAGTTTCAAGAGATTAAAAGAAACGTAAAGATAAGTTTCAAATAAAAATATTTACAATACCTCCTTTATTTCAAATTTCAATTCTAAATCAGTATAATTTGTATATTCTTGTGATGTTCCTTTTTGAAGCTTCTTAACTTTATTCTGAAAACAGAAACATTTAGTATACAGAATATATAATATAACCACAATGACTTTCAAATTAAATGTTTCTGTCATTTGCATATTCAGTTGCATATTAGTCTTTAAATGTTTTCAGGTTAATGAAAGCTTTGATGATTTTACATTAAAATGAACTCACTTCCCTCTCACAAATTTCCCATAAAAAATGACCAACATTTCTGAATATTTATTCTCTTAATCTATGTATAGTTCATGAGTTAGATTTTCGTGTAATTTGAGTAAAATTTTGATTTCATGATAAAGATTTACTTACATCTGATTGTTCAGTTACTTTATTAATAACTGTTGTAGAAGGTTCTAATGTTACCATAGGTAGTGTATTGGGTCCCTGAAAATATAACATATAGAAATATTTCAATTTCCTACAAGGTGTCAGCTGCTAACCATTAATTATTATGAGAGATACATGTGTTCAAGAATGACGTAAGATCAACATAGAAATATTTATATGAGCTACAGATTTTCTTTGTCTTAGCAAAACAATGTCAAGATAGAAAAGAAAAGATGCCACAGTATCAATGAAAACATAAGTTGAAATAATAGTTACTACCTGGAAGAGATCATCCTCTATAGCTGGTTGAGGTGGTGATTCAGGGAATGGTATACTATCAACTAATGCTATCAATTGTTGTAAACGATAATCAGATATATTCAAACTGAGATTAGGTAATTCACCAAATATTTTCATTCTGAAATACAACACAAATATATCTCAATAATATACTATAAAAAAAAAAAAAAAATAAAAATTGTATTTTAGTGCAGCTTACCAAATCCATTGGAAATATAATATTCCATTTTCTATAAGAAGTATTTCATGAATGTACTTTAGCCTTGACCTACATACACAGCAGTAATATACATTGTGAGACTATCATTATGTTGATTATTTGAATATAGGCAAGAGATAAAAACTTACTTGGGCATATTAGGATCTTTATCAAACATACATTTATGGAGTTCTATTATAATTGACATAGGATCTAATAGATGTAAAGGTGATATACCAGCATCTCTGGCTTTCTGCCAATTATCATCTATAAAAAAAATAAATAAAACAACAATTGTTAGCAATACAGATAAACTTTTTTAAGCTTTTCCGAAAATATGGCTGCCAAGTACGCCTAACATATTAACTACCAGAGATTTTAGCAATGATTTTAACATGATGTCAAAAACTATCAAAAACAACAAACCTGGTTCAATATACAACAGCTGAATTCTTTCCAATGTAATGTTAAATTTATCATATGCTTTCTTCATTAGATTTTCTATATTATCAGCCTGAAAATAAATCATAGATAACTAAAGTATGTTAACTGACAAATCCCACTAGCTCCTGAATATAAAACTCAACATTATACCTATTAAATTGAAATTGCAACACAATCTTACGAATGAACATAACCTGCAAGCATAGCCACATTGACAAGTTTGGTATATTATAGATTAATTAACATACAAGTACATACAAACATTCTACAAAACTTACCTTCTTAAGATCAACTGACTGATTTTTTTGAGTAGAAACTTTCAGGTTACCAAGATCTAATAGTAAACATTTTACTCCCCTACAAAACAGAAGAAATGGTTACGTTATTTTTCTGTTTAAAATTCTCTTTCTTATATAGTTGATATATGTTTACATAGTATTAAATGAGATTGTCTTGCAAGGTAACATACAAGAACAATTTTGCCATATGTATGTACACAAACAATCCTGAAAATATCTAGAATGGAGCTTTAAATTTTAGTAAGTAGCTACAACTACTCACGATTTCATAAATCCACCATGTGGTATCATAACATATGAAGACATCAAATTAACATTGATTTCTGTATATTTTCTTTGATCTATAGCATGTTGTAAGCCAGCTGTTGATTGTTCCTTTATTTCATCAAATTTAGCCATAGCAGCAGTTGACAACCTGAAAACAGTCAATTTATGTTACACAAAAACACTTTTCTGAAAATAATCTACATGTGGTAGTTCACCTGTCAAGATAGGGTTAAATATACAGTATACTCTGCGTAATCCAACACACAATGTCGGATTAGCGAGAGTGTCGGAGTACTCAGAGTTTCGACATTTTTCAACATGTGCCACATGTA